TGTGACTATAGCTTGTTACTTTAAACTGTTTCATCCCATGTAGTATATATCTGGTTGTTACAGGTTTTGCTATGGACTTTGATTACTCCAATAGGGATAGAATATGTTAAAACAAGCAATCATGACTGTGGCACAAACCAAGCTTGTCTGTATTCATTCTTCATGGACAGATCAATAATTCATCTGTACTTGAACTGGGACCTGATAGTCCGGTTTTGTAGTAGACTTACAGATACTATTATTCCACTAAGATAGTTTACACTGTTGGTGCTGATGAAAACATCATCTGTGATGCATAGACGAGGCAACACAAATATTTTCTGGTTATCTTTGATATTTAGGTTTTTCCTGTGTCCACATTCTTCTTGTGTGTGTCAGTATTTTCTGTCTTACTTAAGAAAAGCAGTTTTGGCACTTCATCTCAAAATTGTGAAGCATTGCTGTAGCTCTTTGCTGTTTAGGTAATTTCTTGCCCAGAGTAGGGTTTTTTTGGAACTCAGATTTTCCTGTTAAAGGAAATGATGAAATGGAAGAAGTGAAGGCATACTGTGTGCTGTTGCATGCTGATAGCCACATGAAAGATTCTTCTTGCAAGAATTGTACAGTATCATCTGAGATGCTGCTCCTTATAAGCAGATGAAAAGTCAGGTTGAAATGTCAACTGTTGCAACCCTTTCCACTTAGGGAAAGGCTCTGATGGAAGTACCTTCTATTCCACCCAGTAATAATCTGACTGATGTGGTAAAGAAAGGGTCAGACCTCTGGCCAATCCTGAGATAGGAATTGTGGGACTGAGTTGTCCCAGGTTTAGTGTGTAGCAGACATCTGGTTAAGCTGCTAGACTTTGACTTTTCCCTAAAAATTCCTGGATCCCAAAGAGTACTTGTTATTCATTGCAAATATCCTTTGATCATTTCTCCTTTCTCTAGGAAATAGTTTTCTTTTGTTAGAACTTCAAAACACCTGGGAGACCAAACCAATTTGGTGCTTTGTATCCCTTAACTCCCTTATAATAAATTCAGTGATTTTGTGGGGTCTGCAAAACCAGCAATCTAGTATTCAAACAAGCTTCCTCTGGGAGTACTAGAGGCCGTAGAACATGGTGAGTTGTTAATCTAAGCTAGTGTTGAAAAGATAAAAATACTAGCTTTTGTATAGTTGACCTCGTTTCTGCCAACAGATGAATTGTTTTGAGAACAGCAATGAAAATACTCCTTGGAATGAAAGTATCCATTCTGATGGGAGGTAGTATATTAGCTTTAAGCTTGTATTTTGGAGTATATTTAAATACTGCCTACACAGGAAAAATTGAAGTACATCTTGGATGCAGGAGCCAATTTATATTTTGGAAACGATGATGGCTTACCAGTGCTACAGTATACAGCAAGTTCAAAAGCAAAAGCCCTTGTTTGGTAAAACATGAAGTCCCGAAGTGTGCTTCTAGACTTTGGTTTGAGGGCAGCTTGCTTACTAAAGGTGAAATAGTGATATGTCTTGACTGCCTCCCTCCTAATAAACTGAATGTGACCAACTGGCTTCTTACTGCCTCATCCATACTCTTAAACTCTTAGCTACCAGGGCAGGGTGGCTGCCTCTGAACTGCCCAGTGCAAGTGGTCCTGATGGTGTTCAACTCGCAGACCTGGGAGTTGTGTGGGAGAACAGTAATTGGCACGGCCCGCTGCTGGAAAATGTTCTAGCTGCTTTCTAGCGATCATGTTCCGGGGCTGGGAATGTTTTCAGATGAGACTTAATTTATGAGTACAGATGTTAGTCCTTGGTTCTTCTAAATACTTCATGGACTAAAGCATAGAAGGACTCTCCACATCACAAGGGGTTCAGGACACTTCAAGAAAGGTAGGTTGAGGAGAGAATGCCTCCTGTTTATTTTGAGGCACTAATTTGGTGCTACTGAAAAGTCTGTACCTCTCATCTCCCTTTTAGACAGTTTTAGTGGTTTAAACATGCAGTCACCTTCTTTCAACCACCGCCTTTCTGGGATAAGTAGGCATGTCTGCCCTCTCTCAGGCTATTGCTTGCGTATGAATGAACATACTGTGGCCTTTCATGGAAGTGCTGTGTATGAAGTATGCTTTTCATGGTTGTGAGGAATTTCATTCTGATTCAGTGTGCATGTGTGTGAACATTAAGAGCCTTAGTTTACTGTATGGGTGACGTGGGTGCTGGGGAGGGACAGCTTTGCATCTTTTAGGCTGTGGATCTTTTATGTGAGCAGAAGAGTGAGAAGACCACTTTGTTTCCTCAGATGTTTCTTTCAGCGAACAGTAAAAGCTGTCTTGAGCTGATTTTATTGATCATACAGGATGATTTCCTGCAGGCTCTTCAGTGTTTGATTGTGGATTGTTGGAGTATAGTCCTAGTGTAGATCAGCCAGTAAAACATTGACATTCATTGCAGCTCTAAGCAGACATACATCCTGGAAGACAGTGTATCATGTAAGCTGCTGAGTATAGGAGCAGTTTTGCTCTAACTAACCTCTTTTTCTGTACCTCCTGGCCTGGCCTCCCTCCATGGTGTCCTGAGTTTCATTGGAAGCTATGGCTCCATCACACAGTCATTTCACAGTGCTGTTTGTATTTCCATAGGTTATGGAATATGCTGTCAGCTTTGGTAGTTTGAATATTTATAGAGAGAAGAGGTTAACAATATAAAATACTGTTCTTGTTCATTGTGTTATGTCAAGGGCTGTGAAATTTTACTTCTGTATGTGCTGTCTGAAAAGTCTTGTGAAGCAAATGCATGGCATGGCATGCTTACGTCAGTGATGTACCCCACAGTTTTGGGAACGTGTTATCTCTGTGACAGCATCAGCTTTGGAGGACTGCTTTGTATAAAGGATCCATTGCTCACAGGTAGTAAGCTGTCAGAGCTGACTGTGTCAATTAATATGCAGCAGGCTTTGTGTCTGCTGATTGTTCTTCTAATTTAATGTGCCTGATGATCTGTCTTACCAGCAGTAGTGGTGTATATTTAAGGACACAGTACAGTGCAGAGATGCTCCCTGGTGTCCCACAGGCTGCCCGTGTGTCTTCAGGGCAACTATTTCAATCCTTGCATAGCTTCTGTCAACCCACTGACCTGAAGGCATCTTAGGAATATGCAAAAGAGAGGTTGCAGGCTCTACTGATGCAGTGATGATCAGTGTCCCTCACCAACCCACTCTTTCTGGAGAGCTGTGATGCTGCCTGTGTCTCAGATGGATGTAACTTGTGCAGGACAGTTGGCTCTTTTGAAGAGCTGGATGTATATCAGAGAACAGGTCTTTGTGTGTGACGCTCTGCTGCTCTCTACTAGACAAAAAGTCTAGTGCAGGATTTCACTGCTGTCCATAATCAATAAAATGTCAAAGGCCATATTTTATTGAACATTTTTATTTGTGGTAAGTGCAGGCTGCTGCCCAAAGTTACACTCTCGCTCCTCTGTAGTGCTTATGTAGCTCCACAGTGAACAGAACAACTGATCTGGCTGAAAAGTAACTCTCAAAACAAATTCTCAGTCACATATGTTCTGTGGTCAGGTAGATAGTTTACTGATTTGGGTTGCTGCTCAATTGCATGAACAGTTAGGCCTTCCTGGGATGCGTTAGAAATGAGATGTGTGGGACAGGCAAGAAGGGGACAAGAACTGTTTGTTCCCTTCATCAGTAGCCCACAAGTTTTATTAAAGTCACCCAGGAATTGAGGTGGTTATCAGCTCTGAAAGTGGTTTTAAATACAGCGCTGTGTCTGCTCTTTTGTAACACTAATGAATTTAGTCTTAGGAAGGAGAAATAAAAATACCTACCTCAATTCTCTTCCCTTAAACACTATCGAAACTTGTGAGTGTATCAGCTAAGCTTAGTAGTTTAAATGTAATTCACACCACCTATGTTTAAAACCAGGAGTTTGGTGAACTTGGATTCTTTTATTTCTGTTGCAACTTTTCAGAGGCTATGAATTTCAAAGATAATGTAGCAGCCAGTCAAACTTCAGGTTTTGTAATTAGGAAGTGGAGATGTAAGTTGCTTGTGAACCAAATTCTCTTCATCTTTGTGGTGCAAAGTCTAGTTGTGACTTAGATAAAATAAACTGTCAGTTTTCAGTGGTCACAGAGCAAGTATGTGATAGAGCTGAGCTTGATTTGTGCTTCTGAAAGTCCGCTGCCCGTTTACAAGCCCATGCTGTTTTATTACTATGCTTAAATCTGCTGCTGCGTTTAGTATGTGTTTATGATGGAAGGTTCCTTTTTTGCTACTGTTGTGATCCTGTAATTGAACCAGTTTGGTAAAGAATTAGTTGTCTCTCTTCCTGCTTGATTTAGCAGTTAAAGTTTTGTTACTCTGTAGTTAAGTCTTAACATACTATACTGTAAAACTGTGTTAAACATTGTGTTTTGTGTACAGTGGAAAAGAATATTTAATTCTTTAATCAAGGAGAGCAGTGAGAAATAGCAGCAGCAATGTGCTTTTCTTCAGAGTCTGATTTTTCTGTTTTGGGAAAAGCAGCAAATTAGTATGTGCATGGAGAATGAGATTAATGCTTAAGTGGTGGTACTTGAAAGCTAGATTGTGATGTTTGGTTTCAGATACATATGGCCTTTGTTTGCAGTCTTAGGGAAGGTTATGTTTAAAAACAAACAAAAACAAAAAACCCAACCCAGAAACTACCCTTTTAAAATTGAATCTTGTTAAGAGCTAGGCTGAGGAAGTTTTGCCTGTTTTAAGGAACATTACAACTGTATTGACTACTTAAAACCAGAGAACTTGTTCACCTTTTAAAAACATTATCATTTACCTTGAATCACGTGTTCCATTTTGATAGCCTCCTTCATATAGAAAATATAGCATGAGATGTCAGTTTAAATGCAAGTCTAACAATGCTCTATCTTCTATGTGAAAGGAAGTATTCTGTACATTTTTTCATGTTTGACATCATGGTGTTTTGAATAACCATGTTCCATATTCATATCAATTTTTTGTTTTTGTTTTCAATTTATGCACAGCACTTGCTCTGAAATTTGGGGACTGAGTACACCAAACACGATAGATCAGTGGGATACAACAGGCCTTTACAGCTTCTCTGAACAAACCAGGTGAATATTCTGCCCTCTCTCGCATCATAGAAATCTTGTGGGAGGGATTGGCTTTGGAGGGTCTGTAATGGGATGCTTTAGCTGTAAAATAGACTAAAATGCTTCCTAGGCCTCTCATGGTACAGCATTTTAAAATATTTGCTTGCCAGTGTAGAAATCCGAGTGTTCTCAGCTGATGTTTTGACCAATGAAACTCTAATTCTGGAATACTCCTTTATCACTCCAGTGCTATTGAAAGAATGGGAAGACTCGTTAAATTCAAGCTCTAATGTGATTTGGTATTTATATTAACAAAGTTGGAAAACTTCATTCTTTAGACCTAATCTTACAAAGTGTTTAAACTGCTTTGTATGCCACAAGCTTTCGGTTAAATCTTGCTAATTGGCTCAGATACGAGCTACTAAAGAATTGTTTGCAAATTCTTCAGTAGTTAATGGTGGGCAAATTCTAATCAGGGTCTTTATTTTTTCATGTCATATTACTTGATTTGTGTATTGAGGTTTGTCTCCCATCCCATAACAATCATAAACATCTGCATTTGTGTAAGCATATGCAGTCTGTCTTAAAACTAGCAAAACATTTTCAGCTGGTAGCAAGGCAGATGAAGTGAAGAAGATAAACTGTACAGCCCTTACAAGATGTGCATTCATGCTTTTTGCATTACAGTTATACTGCCATGTGGATCGCTTGGGCAGCTGACTGCTTATAGGCTTATTTGCAGTCCTGTGGGAATTCTTATGCTTAAAGCCATAAAGCATCCATGCCACAGCAAAGCCTTGAGGTTTAGCAGCGGAAGGGACTATTAAGTCTGTGATTTTTTTTTTTTTTTTTTTTTTTTTTTTAACAACTGTCTTCTGCATTTATAAAAAAAGTATATGAAGCCCTAAATACTTGGTTGGAGGTAAAGTGGCTTTTAATGAACTCTAAATTCACTGGCAAAAATGTGAGCAGCTCAAAAATAAGTTAAGACACTGCTTGATACCACCATTTTTATCACATTTAAAGCCTTTTAACAAGACTATAAATGTCACTTGCAGTGTTGATCCACTGAATTGTGAAAATAAATAAACTACCCATCCTATGTGTGTACACTGTTGTTTGAGCGATTAAGAGACAGCATGCAGTCTGTAAATACTTCTCAACATCTTTCCCTTATAGATCTCTCGATGGCCGTCTACAGGTATCTCATCGTAAAGGATTACCACATGTTATTTACTGTCGTTTGTGGCGCTGGCCAGATCTTCACAGTCACCATGAACTTAAAGCAATTGAAAACTGTGAATATGCTTTTAATCTTAAAAAGGATGAAGTATGTGTAAACCCATACCACTACCAGAGAGTGGAGACACCAGGTAGGAAGACTGCTTCTCACTTTCTATAGCAGCATCTGTACATAGTTGTTCGGCATAATGTTTTAAATGAAAAATAGAGAAAGATGGTGCTTTCTCTTGCCAAATGTACAAGATTCTTAGAGATACAGGTTTTGAGAATACCATCCCCTGGTAGTTTTTATTAGTAAAGATACTGAAAAATCTTTACAAATGTGTTGAATATCCCTGATAAACACTTCAGTACTGGTAGCAGTTCCCAGCTGGCTAAGTGCAGTCCACACTGAAAAGGAGAGCAGAGATGACTTATCTTTGCTCATGTGGAATAGTCTTGCTCAAGAGATACCTCAGAAACCTGATTCTTCTAGTACAATTGCAATATTAACAGTACTGAGAGTCAGAAAATTTCAAAGCATACTAAGAAATTGTTAGTTTATTTAGATATTTTTTTTCCTCTTTTAGCTCACAGAAGTATGTATTTTGAGGGTCTTACTAATGATTTGAATTTTGCTTTTCCAGTCTTGCCTCCTGTACTAGTGCCACGGCACACTGAGATTCTAACGGAGCTTCCACCTCTTGATGACTATACCCATTCCATTCCTGAAAACACTAACTTTCCAGCTGGAATTGAACCACAGAGCAATTACATACCAGGTATTTTTTTAACTCCCACCACAAACAGTACTCTTAACATTGTGCCACTGAAATGAAGATGGTAATTTCATCCTCCTAAGTGATCAGATCAACTGCTCTTAATTTATTGGTACATCTTTCAGTTAATTTCATATATTAATTCCAGTGGAAGTACCTGAACACTGTTGTTTGCAGAACACGATTCTGTGTGAAACCACACTGCTGTGTTTTCACAATAGCTTACTTGGCTTCCTTAGCTTATTTAAGATTCAGAATGCTAATGAGTACAAAGCAGACCTTCACCTTATTCTCTAAGCCTGTTCTACAAACAGACAGGAGTTACTAAATGCTCTGTGTTGGAGATTGAGTAGTTAACTGCTGCTCAGTCTCACCATGTGTAGCGTGTGGAGAAAACTTTTAAATTGCAGAACAGTGACTTAAAAAGTGTTTTGATCTGTAGTTCACAATCGATCAAGGTGTGCTTTGTGTATTTGTTAGTTGTGTGCATACAGTTTTGTCTTTTTAGTATGAAGGAACAGTGTAACAATATTGAACTCTTAAAGAATTCCTCCTCCCCCTCTTTGTCCCTTCCCCACCCCAAAACAAATACCAAGACTAATTTGCTACAGTGCACCAAAAGCCTGTACCTTCATTGAAACCTAAAATCAGTGACCTTTGTTTCCTGCCCCAACTTCCTGTTTCCTATCTCTTCAGAGTTGCTTGAAGTGTAAAACCAAGTGAAGCTGAAGTTTTCTCATAAATATATAATGCAGCTATGTTACAAACAAGTTGAAAAATTCCGATATAGGCTCTCCTAAAGAATAACATGACTGCCTTGGAACTCAAATATGTGCAATATACAAATTGTATCTACATGTCTTAAGCAGGATGTTGCTTGTGTTTTCATTAAATGTATCCAGGAATTGAAATGACACAAAAAAACTTTAAATTAATTTGATCTCCTCTGTTTAATTTGTGCCACATTTGTTGCCACCTAGGGACACAAGATCTTTAAAGAGCAATTAAATGTGCTAGAAGTTGGTGTTGCTTTCTTAATTTATGTGTACTTTTCTGACTCAATCTGAGGGCCTTTGATAGCTTTTGCAAACAATTTACTGGAAAGCCACCATTTGAAAATCCAGTGCTATGGAAATGAGCTAGAGCAACTAGGTAGTTATCTGCAGGAAGTCTGTTCAAGGTGATTGCGGGTATTCACATGATCTTCAAAAGTTTATGCAGCTAACCACACCTTGTCCTCCTCTTTGTCACTGACACCCTCCTGTTGTATTTGTATTATGGCATCTTACTTTATTTGACCTTGCTAGGTTAATCTTGAATACTTAGCTAGGTTCTGGTAAGTCTTGTGTGTCTTGACAGCCTGCTTCAGAGAACCGTTTTCTCTAGCGGTGGGCCAGACTAACAACTGTGCTAGTTTTGCATCACAGTACTGCCTCAGTACTTACCTGGTCTACAAAGAGGTTGGTTTTGCCTGCAGCTGGGAAAATGGCTACTGTGAAGGTGCAGGAGGCCCTTTGGGGCTCTTGTGTTCCCTTTCAGGTTATGGGTGTGCTGAGCTGCACTGTCCAGATCCAGACTTCTGGCAGCATTCAAGCAAAAGCTCAAATGCTGCACTTGAGCATTTATTTCCAGCTGTGGTGGTGTTCAACCTCTGACCCTAAAACAGTATTAATAGTGCTAGGTGGAGGAAATCTTCTCTGTTCAGACAGAGACTAGATATGGAAAATAATCTGTGCCAAAGAGCCTAGATTAGCAACTGGAAACAGGAGGCGTGGGTTGGATTGGAAATGGTTATTGACCTTTTGCCATGGCTGTGGGCTTCAGCTATAACAAATAATTTAGAGATGGGTGGAGTCCTCTGCATCACAATGAATTCTATAAAAATGTTCAAAAGAAGAATGATTTTTGTCATCATAATTATTGCTAGTAAAGATTTCCCTTAATCTTTCTTCTAAATTCTCACTTATATTTTGTCATATCTGATTTAGCACCCTAGTTTTACAGAACGAACCAAAGCTATAATTCTTTTAGTTCATTTTTATTTAATCAACTGACATAACCTAGTTTCCTCTCACTGACTTCCTTCTGATCTTACTCTATTGCTGTAAATCTCAGACATGATATTTGATATAATTTTATTTTAATTCTTAAGCAAAAGGCTTTATCTTTACATTTCTGCTGTTTGGTAATAATGTAATTAAATGTGTTTAATCCCTCAGATGTCTCAAATACAATTCAAAGGTGATTGTAGAGATAGTTAGCTTCAAACACTTTCACTAAAGAAACCCAGGTTTTGCCTGTAATATAGAGGAAAAGACATTTGCCCAGTTCAAAGAAAATTATTTCCTGAAAGGCAGTTGGTTAACTCATTATCTAGATTACAAAGTACATTTTGATTGGAGAAAAGCAACAACCATACTCTCTTGGGTTTTGAAGATATTTCTGTGGAATTAGATACAGTTTCTAGTGTCAGAATGCTTCAAACTTGCTACTGAGTTTACTTTGGTCTGTGAAGCTCCATCTTTAAAGAAAGCTAGTTAAAAGAATAGATGATCGTTTTAATAGAGCTTGAATATAATAATAATGATAATAGAGCATGTGCAGTGTAACTAGTTAGATAATATAGTTATTAATGAGTGAAATCAACCATTAACTATTGAAGAAGAAATGGTTTTGGGGACTGAACTGAAAAATGACCTTTAAATCTAGCAACTTTTATAAGGCGTGGGAGGGTATCTGATCTGATGGTTATACTACATAAAGACAGCTCACTTTTTTTTTTTTTTTTTTGTAGAAGTCACCAGATGGTTTTTTTCATTTGTAATTCTACTAAATGTGAAAGCTGTTGATCACAATTGCAAAATTGTTACTCATTGTAGTGAAAGTATCTTGTCTTAAATGGAACAAACAAGAATTGTCTGTTAATTATATAACATATTTGAGCAATTGACTGGCATATAAGAGATGATACATTTTATATAGACAATAAGGCAGGTAATGGGTTTGAAGTCCTACTGGAAGGAAAAAGGGACAGCAAAATCAAATCCTAACTCAGTGTTCAGTTATCATATGGAGCTCATGAAGACTTGAGGACAAAACCTCCAGATGCTAAATCTTACAAATTTCCCCAGTCATTGAACCAATAGGTGGATATTTTTTTTGACAGAAACACCACCTCCAGGATACATCAGTGAAGATGGAGAAACGAGTGACCAGCAGTTGAACCAGAGCATGGATACAGGTAAAATTTATGGGTTTTCATTACTTTGAAGACAAGGGATTACTAGCTGTGATCCCTCTGCGTAGTGCATGAATTCAGCCTGAACGATGATGGCACTAGACCTCTGTAGTACCTGGTGTTTTCTGTTTAGAATATCACTTCCAGTCTTCTGTGAACAAAATCATTTTTTGCTAGGGGACTGCTTTTAAAACATTGTGTACCATATTAAGTATATTTCATTTGTTTCATAACAAAAGCATACAGGTCTAATTAAGTCTCCATCAGAAAGCCTTAAAATAGATTTTAATAGCTGACTGGTTTTAACCCACCCCTAACTTTTTACCTTCTGGAAACAGGTTCATTGAAGCAGAATGTTACAGAAATACTGCACTTTGAGAACTTGTCTCTGAGCTCCAACAACCTTATTACTTCTGCCATGTTTCAGATGAATTCTTTATGAAAGGCTCTGCTGAAATAATAGTAGAAACATAAGCATTTGTGCCTTTGTATGAAAGGGTTTCTAGATAATCTGGTTGGCTTTAGACTTGGACAGAGCACAGTTAATGTGCTGGATAAGAACCTCCTGCTATGTGCTGGCAGAACTGAGTATGTGTTTGGTTAGCTAATGTTAGCAACCTTTTTCAGTTAATTGGAATCAACTGTGCTCGTTTCTGTAAGAACTGCAATATTTTTCCCACTATGTGACAATAGCTACCTTAATTAAAAAAGCCTGACATCAGCAGTCATTGTAGGAATGTTTCTGTGCAAAGCCTCTCTGTATTTTGCCTACAATTGCACAAATTGTGTTGGAGAGTTCATGTTTCTCTGAGTTTTTTCCTTCCTCCTTCCAGGAAAGAATAATTTCCTCAAATGAGGAAATCCAGCATTTTCTTTTCTAGAGATAAACCCTCTCCTTTGAGAATAGAGAGGTAATATCTTTCTTGTCTTGTCCGTTTTTTTTTTTTTTTTTTTTTTTTTGTTTGGTTTTTTTTTCGCTGAATTTGGGAAGAAGTCACTACCGTCTCACAGGAGAAGTGCATAAATAGTTATATTCACAGAGTGTGCATGAAGTGAGAGCTCTGCCAGATACAACACAAAGATGTTAATCGAGTCTTTACGAGGAGGGGTGGTAGGTTCCCAGGAGTCTGGAAAATTAAATGTAATCTTAATTCAGAATTAGCATGTGACATGCTGGTAAACTGGTTGTAGGATTTCTGAGGTATCTTATTCCAAAGAATTTTAATGTGAAACTATTATCTAGGCAGTGGTCATACCTACCCATCTGAAATTACAAGAATCATTTGCTCTGAAACAATCTTTATTGCTTCAACAGGATCTCCAGCAGAGCTGTCTCCTAGTACTCTCTCCCCAGTTAATCATAGCTTGGGTAAGCTGGAAATACTTTTAATTATTTCTGTATGTGTGATGACTCTTCTTTATATATATAATTACATTAAAAATAAAAATGTACTTTAAAAAAGCAAGAGCTGTATTAGGAAACTATTGGATTGTCTTCCTGATGATAAATGTAATAGGGCTGGGTTAATAACTTGTTAATAACTACTGTATTTCTCTAACTCTTGAGCTTCTAGCAAAGAGAAAGAATAATATGGTTGTCTGTGCAGGAATAGCATTTATGAAATAAATAGTTTAAAGGACGTTTACCTATCCATAGTGCTGCCCAGACTTGCTGTCTCCCTTATATGAGTGTTCTGCTGCTCTTCTCATGTACTGTTTCACGTGTGACCACAACACAATTACTCCCACATTAGTTGCCCACCTGCTTTGATCAGGTGCCACTGCTGTGTGTCTGTATAAATGCCTCAGGAAGATCAGATTCCCTTGGGCTTGTTTAAGGAATGGTGACAGGATGCGACAGGAAAATGCTGTTCAGAATGCTAAGTAATTAGGGTAGGTAAAAAGGGGAAGCAGCACAGGAAAAGCTGAAGATGCACAGGGAAGATACTGAGCTCTAGTAGGGGAGAGTAAAATGAGCTCAGAGCTGCCTTTAGATAAAGAGACAGCATAAGATCCAGTGTAATATGAGGGAACATCATTTTCCTATTATTTTTTTTTTCCTTTGTGTGGTTCAGTGTTTGATAGTTCAATCTTTTCTTTAACATTGCCAAAATGTTTGCAAGTTACAGAAAGGCAACAGAAACGTCTCAGTGTCTGGCACTCACAGTAACATTAGCTTAATCATTTTGCTGAGCAAAATGCAAGTACAAGTACTAAACTACATGAGCTGTGGTCAGATTAGATCACCCGTTCTCGTTCCCCTCCTTCTCTTGTGTGGAGTATTGAATTCCATTCTGTTTACCAGGGTAGGTAAAAATGATAGCAAGCAAAGTATAATTTGAGAAGTTTGAGGAGACTACTGCTGTCATTTCTGGAAGAGATGAATAGCAGGGCAGTTAGATTTCTTTTCAGCCTCAAATTCTGTTCTAAGCTTATTTTTTAAAAATTTTTTTTAGACTTGCAACCAGTTACTTACTCGGAGCCTGCATTTTGGTGTTCAATAGCATATTATGAATTGAATCAAAGAGTGGGAGAAACCTTCCATGCATCACAGCCTTCCCTGACCGTAGATGGCTTTACAGATCCATCAAATTCAGAACGATTTTGTCTAGGTCTGCTTTCCAATGTAAACAGAAATGCAACAGTGGAAATGACAAGGCGACACATAGGTAAAAATCTCTGATCTTTTGACTATTTAATTTCATTTTAGCCATTAAATTATATGGAATGATCCAGGTAGGATGGACAGATCTGTGTGTTGGGGTCCTTTCACCTTTGTGTAGCCAGCCACTGAGCTTCTCTTGAGACGTGCCAAGGAGAGCTTGGTCTCTTGCTGAGTACAGAAGTGGAAGGACACAGAGGTCAGGTAGAAATGTAGCAGCTTCTGCTACCACAGCCAGTCGCATTTGTGAAGACATGTGGCGATGGCTGGAGGTGAAAGGAGCTGCCTTTCCTCAGCTGGTAGTCACCAAGTCAGTCGCAGCAGCAGGCACACAGCTGTCAGGCTGAGTGTGGCACAGGAGGAAGCCACTCAGCTGTATGGGATTTCTGCTGCTCACATTGCTGTTCTCTGCCTTCTGGAAAAAGACAATGTGCCAAAGCAACCCAAGGGACATGTTTTTGGCTTTCGGGTTCCTTGTTGGACCACTCTGCCCTGGGTAGCATTTATATTCAGAGTTGCTTGTAATTGAAATTTAAGCTTTAATTACAAAATATTAACATGTTGCTTAGTTTATTCTAATTTATAAAATGCAGAATGGATATTGGGAGTACTTCTTGAGTTCTTTTCTGAAATGGGAAAATGTGTCTTTGAGATAACATGCTGTTTTGACATGAGTAAGATTTTCATTGGAATAGTTAGTAGAATATTGTTTTCCACAATGCAGCATCTTGGCTTTAAGTTCTTCGATAAAATACTTTTTTTTTTTACTTTTTATTTTTTCCTGGATTCCTTTATTTTAGCAGCACAAAATTTTTTTATTTTTACTTGTAAAAAAGTTCAACCTCTGTAGTAGAACCTTCTGACTCCCCCTGTGCCAAATCCAAATGCCTTTCTGATAAAATTTTAGATGTGCAGAAACCCAGGCTATGCCTGTGCTGACTGATCAAAGTAGTCAATGATGAGGAAGAGCAAAAATGTAAGGAGCTCTCACTTTTTTTTATAGAGCAGTTCACATTTTGTTTGAAAAATAGTTTTGAAGAAAAAGGGGAAGAGAAACCATGGCTTTTAAAAGACCTGTTAATTGTAGTTTCCTTTGGGAGATCAATTGTACATTCCTTATCTTCTGCTACAAATAACCTGTACTTTTTTTTTTTTTCACTCAGAGAGAGCGAGTAAGATCACAATTTAAAAGTGAGCAATAGGATTTCTTATGTGTATTTTTTTGTAATAGGGCTAAGTGAAGTCCTGTTGTTTTTGTCATAGTTGTACAGGGAAGGGGTATGCAGTTGGTTGTGAAATAGTGTGGGTGCATGTAAGCAGAGAGTGTTGAAGTGGTATACTGATGTTTTCCTTTTTTGCCTTAGTGCAACTTCACATACAACACTTCAGTATTAGCACAAGTTTTGACTCTGTTTAATATTTTTATTTCAATTTTGGTATTTCTTTAAGTGAAAAAGTGTCTTGCTAATGAACACTTCTTCCTAAATTGGACTTGGTTGCAAGCCATTACATGGCTAGAAAATTCTCTGTCATTCTTGGCCAAAAATTATTCTGCTTCTCCTTTAAATGCTGTGTGTTTGTGGGAGAAAAATGGAAGTTAATTGTGTTCTGCTCCTGCTACAGCTGTCAGCCCAGCGATGTGGTCCTGTAGATAATTGATTTCTGTTTCTGTTGTAAAAAAAGCTTTGGCCTTGTCTGAAACAAAACACTCCCTTGTTTGTTAATCTGCTTGGGTTGTATCATAACTTGAGTTCCTTTGAATTTTGCTACAGGAAGGGGAGTGCGTCTCTATTACATTGGTGGGGAAGTTTTTGCTGAGTGCCTAAGCGATAGTGCCATTTTTGTTCAGAGCCCCAACTGTAATCAAAGATACGGCTGGCATCCTGCAACTGTGTGCAAAATTCCACCAGGTTAGTAGCCTACCAAAGGTCTCATGTAAAAATATTCAGTGAATGTATTCACTGGATGACATTCGCTTTCCTGTTAATAGTTTCTTTGTAATCTTGGGCTTCTGTGTGGCAAACACAAGTAATTCATTGATTATATCCTTTTGACCTTTCTTTATAGGATGCAATCTAAAAATCTTTAATAACCAAGAATTTGCTGCTCTTCTGGCTCAGTCTGTGAATCAGGGTTTTGAAGCAGTTTATCAACTCACTAGAATGTGTACCATAAGAATGAGTTTTGTTAAAGGTTGGGGAGCTGAATACAGGTAAGAAAAAAACCCTTTGCTTTTAAATGTAATCATTTTTCCTGCTTCACTACTACACTATTTCTGTCTGGCTTGAAAGCCACGCGTACAGGCTTCTTACTGCCATTGTAGATAAACTATCTGCAAGTTGAATCCATATTTTCCTTTTTCTTCCCCCTAGCTATGGAGCACCTAAATCAAAAAGACCAGTAAACTGATCTCAGTGTTGTACTGAAGTCAGCTGTTGAGCAAGGGATGTTGTTAAAGTTCCGTTTCCTAACTCAGTCAGTCCTGCTTGCTTGTTTATTGTGGTGAAATCACTGACAACACCTAGAAGTTTCACAGTTTTTGCTATGAGATTATATGCTGTTTGTTAGATGTACAGTCATTTTGGTCTCTGTCCTGCTCTATGTGGAGTATAATGAGTTTGTTAGGTTATGGTGCGTGATGCAGTTGATAGTACCCGATGGAAAGAATTGGAGTCACTTGGAGTGCATTCTGCAAAATAAAACAGCTGGAGAACACACATTTAAGGGATGGCAAGTATTTTGGAACTTGTAGTGGAAAAAACTTTGCAGGAGTAAGATGACTGTTTATGTAGTAAAACTCCTAAAAACAGTTTTTTGAGTGGAAAAAATAGTCTTTTATCTGCTTTTGAATAGATTCCAATTGTATTCTCTCTTAGTACAAACTAAGAGCTATAATTGAGGACAGTGCCTGTTTTTAATGTGGTATGGGAATTTGCGAAGAAAAGGAATTGACTTCTAACTGAGCAGTATTAAAGATTTCATTATTTTTGAGAGCTAGAGATGTGGTTTTAAACAAATTCCTTAAACCTCTCTAGAAATTGTCCACTGAAAGAATGAAGTCTGACATATCAATACCCTATTGTAATGCATAATTATTTTTTTAAATCCATATAATTTCTGAAGTTGAATAATGGCATGTAGCTTCTCCTGTGAATCTTCGGGTTTTGATTCTTTTATCTGCTTCTGAAATATATACATGTAAATAGCAGCGTCAGTACGTGGGGGAGGCTTCTCAGCTAAATGAAGCCAATTTTGTAAAAGCCTAATTAGATGAAATGAGAAATCTGAGTAGTGGAATAAATTGGTTCCTCTGTTAGCAAGAGGTACACAAGAAGGAATCTGGCTCAAGTTTAAAGAACTGTTGGATTTGGCTCAAAAGGAGTGTGCATACACTTATGCATAATTAAATACAACATTCAAATCAGAATAGAAGAAAGGCTTAATCAGTCAGGTTATATGGAGACAACTTGAAGTGAATGGAGTGTAAGTATTGAGTTAAAACAGTGGGGAGGCTTTTGGTAAGGTTATTTCTAAGGAGGGAGAATGTTGGTTGTTAGTAATTGTTCAGAGACCGTAGGACTGAAAGAGCTCCAGTGCTAGACCAACACAGAAACTTGATTGCTGACATAATGCTGAACTAGTTTCTTTGCATCTCTGTTTAAGATGGAGTTAATAAATTATTGATGCATAAGACTTATAAGTTATGCTGCAGTTGTGATTAAAGAAAGAAGTTGCTCCTGCAAACATAACCTGGAATTTAAATAAGTGTAGTCTGAATTGTCAAAATAGTCCAGAAAGTGATGTAAAATTCACCATTCTTATTAAAACTTCCATGCTTTGTTATTATTCAAAAACACTTCTCACAGAACAGGCTTTGGCGAAGCCAAAGCATTATTTACATTTTAGGCATATGGCATATGTGCATAAATGTGCAGATATGGCAAGGTGGTAGATTTTATAAGCGTGGTAGACAAAATAGCTTATAGCTTTTTGCTGGATACATGTTGAATTGAGAATGGGGGTAGAAGTTCAGATCAGCAGACAAGTGTTCATGTTAACACAGGAACTACCCAGGTCTGGGATCATCTTCTGAAGAAAGTTAAGTAGAGGTGATTACAGCAACGAGACCTAGTGACACGTGAACTGGAAATCCATAGGTAGAAGAAGCTGAGTTTTAGCTTTGAGATGGCTGCTAAGAGCCTGTTACTATTTTATCGACTTTTGCCAGTGTAGTGCAAAGCCAGGGTTGTTGAACAGAACAAGTTATAAAATTTTGAGGAAGTGTGTTGTGGAACACATTGTAGGGGAATTGACTGCAATGGGATAATGAACTTCCTTCTTTGGGAGAGGATTCAAGACTAAATGGAAGTGTATTTCCTGTGGTTTAGATTGTCCTTCTATTGGGTCACTTTGTTTTGGCATAGACATTCAGGGCTAAGATAACAATGTTTTTTAGAGTGCTGAGAGAGCACAGACCTCAGCCACTTTGTTCTCCTAGAAAATGTGAAACCACAGACAAGTTTTGAAATCCATCCTCTCACTGACTTAATCTTTCTGCCTTTTCAGTTCTTCTGTTTATATAAACAGATTTCCTTAAAGTGAAGGGTTGCCGTGCTTACAGTAAAAGTGAAAAGGCTGGGTTTGTGTCTGAGTGTAATCTGCTGCCTTTGAATCTTAATGCCTCCTTGCTTTGACTTTGGGATAGATAGAATTAGTAGGAAAAACTGGCCTAACAACAGTAGTCTTGCCATTCTAGTTTGGGAAAACTCCCATGCCTGGAGTGGGTACAGTGAAATAACAGGATTTCTCAGGCAGAGTGTGTCCAATACTGATTTCTTTACTTTGGAGATGAGAAGGAAGATTTTTGAATAACTGGTCTCTGAAACAAAAATATATGGGAGAGTGAAAGAAGCTTTTATGATTGTCAGTCCTTCAGCTTTACTGAGGATATCTGTATAGTATTTAGTTAAGGGCTTTTATTGTGGAATACTAACGGCAAGTTTGTGTAGAAGATAGAGGAAACACAATTTTTACTTAAATTGTTTGTGTGAGGATGTTACAGTACAAAACACGTAGAAGTGTAAGTTTACAGGAAATCAGAGATCAAGTTTGGTGTTCCTTTGAGATAGCATCAGCTAGCACAGTATAACCACACACTGTGTTTTTATCTAGTGTTTCTGACAACATCTAGCAGTTTCCTCATACATTTATCTTGTCAATTGCTCCAAAAAGCCAGAATTTACGATTGCAATGGTATTGGGCTGTTTGGCCATGCTGACAGTGCAGAGCCAATTATTTCTATTCTGTATCTCTCAGTTGTCTGCAAAATTCAAACCCAGTTACGCATGCAGACCCTCTGAAAGTTAAGATACAGCTGCACACAGCTATCTGTGATGTGAACACTGCATGGATCGGACAGTCTTCAGTTTTGAATTTCTTTTTAGAAGTAAAGCTCTTGGTGTGGCTCTTGAAGCAGATGCTGCACTTATTCTCCAGATGGAATATTCTCAAAGTATTATGGATACGCATGTAATTATTGATGTGTCTTACAGATGTGGGGTGTTTTGTTTTTTGGGGGTTTTTTTTGTTTGTTTGAGCTTCTTTTTCTTCAAAGTGTTTTTTTTCAAAGCTTAGTATGGTAATGGTTGCAGTTTTTTATCTTTCTGTGTAGTAGATATGGATAGAAACGTGTCTGATCATATGATGGAGAACTTTATGGCAGCCAAAACTGCTTTCTGACTTTCTTATTATTCTTTATATTCTAGGCGGCAAACAGTAACGAGCACTCCTTGCTGGATTGAACTTCATCTGAACGGACCTCTACAATGGTTGGACAAAGTATTGACTCAGATGGGCTCCCCTTCAGTACGCTGCTCCAGCATGTCGTAAAACTCCTTCCTCTGTTACCAGTGGGCTAAATATCGAGTCCAATCAACAGACTTAACATAACAGCTCGTCTGTCGTAGTATTTGTGTGTGGTCCCCATGAACTGTTTACTATCCAAAAAGGTTTTTAAAAAGAAAAACAGCACTTGAGGTCTCATCAATTAAAGCACCTTGTGGATTCTGTTTCCTATACTCTGATACTAGATGAAAATTTAGTGTATAGAAATGCCTTCTTCAAAAAGAAGAAGGGACAGTTCTAAAGACTCTTAATGGTGTTTTTATTGGATATATAATTGAGTGTCCTAATGGTTTATCAATAACATGAATAGCTAAGTATATGTACAGGTAATGTATCATGATCTCAGATATCACAGTATTGTGCTGTTCTACATTTTAGTTCCCATAAGTAGTCGTTTGTTTTTTGATTGAGGCAAATCTCTCATAAAGTTCCAAGACTCTACTCCTTTATTCTTTTATATTTTTTTATATAAGCAGGTTTTCGAGTTGTCCTAAACATAAAAAGCAGACTTTCCTTGTAGAAAAGCTTAACTTTTTGCTGCCTTCTTTAAAGAAAAAGAAAATCCCTCCTTTGGAAGGGAAAGAAATGTCTTGAGATTGATCTGTGAAGTCTTAAGACACTTTATATGCTTAATGGGGCCTAAAATGAATTCATATTATAAATTCCGAGTATCCATCGCACTAGGAGTCTACTTTTCCCTACCCATCTGAGTTGATGCACCTGTTGCCAGCAGAATTGCTGGCACTGATATAATTTGGGACTTTTAGTACCTTAAATCATTGAAATCAGTGGTTTTTCTCATAGAATGAGAATTTACTCTAGCATTGGATACTGGATTAAGTACACAAGGTTATTGGCTTACCCCTTATATCTGTGCTTTTTTTATTAAACAGATACCACTAAAAATCATGGGGTTTAGATTCTGGAGCCAAATACCTTGAAAAATCTGTTCCCAGGGTAAACTAGACTCTTTCGTATAGGTTTTAAATAGATGCAGCTTCTTAACATATTTCAGTAACAGAATTTAAATTTCTGATCTGAGTGGCTTTGTATAGCTTACTTACATACCAGATCATACGCATTCATTATGTCATAATGGGCCTTGTTATTAAAAGTAGTTGCTTCTGCAAAACCTCTAGGATAGTGGTTGCTGAGGTATGACCAGCGAAGGAGGACTTCTAGGTTCTTCGTGACAGTGCATGTTATTGTGAACCCTTGGACACTACAGCTGCACCATATTAAAAATATTCTGAAATATATTCTACAGATAAGTCTGGGTTGGGGAAGGGTTGGGAAACTGTATAGAAGGGTTATTCTGACTTGAAAAATATACATCTTACTAACAATCTTGTGATCTAGCTGTCTGTCATTCTTTTGTTATTGTGGCAGTAGCAGGATTGCCTTTGTCTGTTTTTTCCCGTTGTTTCATCCATTACACTAGTACTGTACTTTGTAAGTACAGCTAGTGATAACTTAGCTTTGAGAACAAAATGTGGCCAGTGTTACAGCTTTTAATCAGTTGACTGAATTGATGATAGTGATGGATATTTTTATGCCATAATGACTAGGGCATAGAAGCAATACCAAAAATCAAGCCTTGAAAAAGTGGGCCAGACACCTTTAAAAATTTGGCAAAGCAGTTATCAGTTTGTGCTAGTTTTACCAGTAGACTAATGTATTGGTAGAACTTGTGAACCTAAGAAATAAGCTTCATGCGTGTTGCATTTGCCTAATATGTGAATACACTAATAAAGGTTTTAATTCTCATGATGGTTGGTTTTTTTATTAATTGCTATATGTATTTTCTGTTGAAGATTAGGAATCATTCTAACCCACCCACATAAATGGCACAAGTGTCCTGCATGTTGTTTGGATGTTAAAATCCCTTCTCATAGAGCTATTCTGGAGGTTCGGGATTAGTGTGTGTTCAGTGATACAGACTTCTACTCCAGATAGATCTTATTAAAGCAGTTGCTTTTTTTTCTGCCACAATCAAATTGCATTCTACTAGCTCAGATGTTTACTTTCACCTGTGAAACAGATAAGAGCAACTTGTCTGGGTGGAAAACTCCATTGCATTTATGAGCAGGTTGCAACTTGAATCAGCTGGGTGACCTAATTCTGTAGTCTCCTTACTGTGGATTTCTGTATGTGTTTTCAGTTAAGGCAATATTATTTGCTTCGCCTTGAACGTTGTAATAATCTTTACTGTGCCCTTTCTTGGTTCACGCTTCCAAGTAGTGTACAAGGACACTGCAGACATTATCTGTGGACCTGTCATGCTGCCAGTGTTCAAGTCCATTTCAGGCTGTTGTAGAAGTCACTTTTTTTGACTTCTGTTAGTACCACTAAAATATTCTTTCCTGCCATTACTGTTTCAGTCACAGCTTAGTATAACAAGGGAACTTGTCTGCATTCAAAGTATTTGCTTGCCTGTATTTCATATAAATGCCTTTGGTAGTTCTTGAGTAACTTTAACCTACTCCTGTTTCTTAATCCATTGCCTTTCTGATTTATCCCACTGGTGTTCTGCTCTTCCTCAAAATATGACCAGTGCCTGCTCAAGCAGCTTAACGCAGAATGCCTGTGATACATAAGGAATGTGACTTCATCTCTGTGCTCTTCTGCCAGTCAAAGGACTGATGTCCAGAGTACAAATGAAAAGTAAATTACTGTTTTCAATGAGGCTGTTTTGTTAAATAAAATACTTACCAAGCCGGGAATACTCAACAGGAGATACTTAAAGTATGAGTAGCCAGCTGCTTATCTGTATCATGAAGCTGGAAAAACACTGTGTGTAACTGTTGCCTTAAGTTTGGACTGTGATTCCATGTGCCTGTGTTCTGATGTCTCTTGTCACTAGCCCTGTCTGATCTTGATTTTCATAGTGCTGCCAAAGCCAAGTAATCAAAACCCAGGTAGTTGATGTAAACACCTGAACCTGAAAATTATTTCTGAGTTGCCTTTTAGCAACTTGGATACACTGAGCTGACACTTCAGAACCCTTCCTCCTCCAAAGAAAAACCCAGTTTCATTTTGCAGTTGTTCCAAGGCTGAGGGTTTGAGAACAACGTCTAATGCCTGGACTCCTTCAACTGTGAGAATTCATAGTAGAGCACCATCTCTGTATTTCCCCCTTCCTTTTGTGCATGTTTCCTATCTAGGTGGTAAGCTCTCGGCCACAGGAATTCTCTGCTGTTACTTCAGTGTCTTGCGTGGAGTCCTTTGACTTTAGGTGCTGTTATACAAATCTAGAACGTGGGGACAGCTGTAGTGTTTTCTTGTTCTTATTCAGGATGTTGTACTTAGTCATAACTTAACCTCCTTGAGACTGATTGCAGGCAAACAGCATAAATAGTTTAACTTTGGACTCCCTGTATAGTCAGTAGGGAGAGGTAAAGTCTGAATTGCTCTCTGGTGGAGGGCCGAGGCTGTTGGCTGAGGTGCCTGATTTAAATGCATAAAGTATGAATATCTGCCTTAAAAGGTTCTTGGGTGCTATCAAAGTAGTCAGCTTAGGCGTTGAGGAATAATAGCTTTAAACTAATTTACACAGTAAAAGCAAGAAATCACAACCTTCACTAAGCTTTTTATTTCCATGTGTCCAATTTGACTTTTCATGTTGAAGTAGGAGGGTGTGAAGTTTGGAGGTTTGATAATCATCTGCAGCTCTAAATTGTTGGCACAGTGAACTGTAAGTGTTTTGTTTTAACCTTCAAACTTGTCATACTTCGTTGTGGTTACAGCTTTTTTTAGCATTGCAAACTGAAATTTTACTGCAGCTGGGTTTTGAGTTAAAATATTGTGAAATACAGGATTTCACTATACTCCACCCACACAGTGTTTTACTTGAGTATGAAGCACTGTTCCTTTTACCAAAACAAGTTTGACTGTAACCTAATTTTGGGAACACTGAATACTACCTCTGAAGAGTCAGTGAGGTATTGTCTTCATTGGAATAATTACACATATAGCAAGTTAACACGCCAGCTGTATTAGAAAGTGCTTCTAGAAGGACCTTCTCAGGGATTTAAATTGCAACTGGTCTGAAAGTTTATTCCTATTAAGAAAATACTAATGAAATGTGTGTTTTCCTGACCACTTAAGCTTGGCTACTAAACCATCATAATCCGTGTTAGAGGCGGCCATTTAAAAATAACCTTCAATCATGTTGGTCCTCTTCTATCTCTCGGGTAAGAATTACTCGTTAGGTTGCTGCTGCTTCTCTTGGGAAAGCACAGTCTGTGGCATAAGTTTCTAGTACTAGATTGTCACAGCTACAAAACTAGAATCAGGGCTTCAAAGCTGAGAGCAGTCTTTGATGTTACATTAGCTGTCATTTCATTAACTGTAATCAGGATTAAATCTAGTTAGTTGGCAGAAGAAAAATGAATGACAAATAATGGATATGTAAAGATGTCAGACTTCGATGCTCTTGATCCCTTTCCCCCATGCAGAAGATCTCATCAGAATGGATTCAGTAAAGCCCACTTGCTTGTCCTGTTCCTTTTGGAATAGGATCCAAAGTGGCAGTGGACATACGTGCTCCAGCTCTACTGTTTTTTCCTTTTAATTTGCAACAAGGGAAGCGGAAACAAAGCTTCTGTCACTCTTGATTTGTCTGTTAACAGCATCTAGCTATTTGCTCATCTAAAGCTGTAGTAAGGTATCATAAAAAATTTATGTATGCCTCAGGAATTAATTGAGCTTATGAGCAATGTGTACCTGAGGCTGCAAATTCTGTTTGATTTTAAAACTTATCTTTGCTTTAAAGTCTTACTTGTCTTTTCATTTTGAAGTAAAGTTCCAAGAGCAGCCGTAGTGGCACCAAGAATAGAAAATCATTAAACTTAGGTTGCCAGCCATTGCAGTTTATCTTCAGGTGAAGGGGTGGGTGCTGTTCATCAGTTCTTATTTAATCTTTGACAGGAGTTGACTAGGTGGTTGGTCACCTGTGATCAAGGAATAACAAGACAGAGAGGCTGGAGCCTCAAGCATGCAGCCAGTTCGCAGGGAAGGTGGAGTAGAGGCAAGTCAAGCTCTAGAGCCATGCTCTGGACCAGGGAATTGCAGACTTTTCAGGGCTATCTGCTGTACCCTCCAAACTCTTCAGAAATACAAAACACTTGGACAGGGAATAGTATACAGGTAAACTTAAGTTGTCTAGATGCATGACTTTCTAAATTCATTATGCATTAGTTTTATTTCAAACACTTCAGAAGTCCTGTCTCTTCTGTTTGTGTTGCTAGTCCTTGAAGAGTTGATCTCTAGGAATTCACAAAGTGGAGCTTAGAAAAAGATGTTCTTAAGCTGTTGAGATTTGGCTGGGGGTTATTCAGCATGGGCCCCCCAGGGCTTTCACAGCTGGGTGTTGGTGTGTGGTTTTTTTCCTGTGGAATCACTGATGGAGCCTGTGGTTAAAAGAAAAAAAAGCCTCAGGCAGCAGAGGTAGGCGTCTCAGGAGAGGAGCAAGATTTGATCCTAGTGAAGCTCTGAGAAGAGCAAAATTTATCCTGCCACAAAACAGTGGCAGGCAATGCTGAGATTTGTGAGCTGTAGGAAATCCGAGTGACGCCAGAAGGAGGAGGGCTGTGTGCTATCAGAGGGGATGTAAGTTCAGGAACATGCGGGGTCCTGGAGGAATTTTTTAGGGACATGAGACAAGTTGTGTACAGATCGTGTGAGTTGTGCTGTGCGCCTGTGCTGTGCTTCCTCACGTGCTTTGGTTCCAAAGGCAGCAAAGGCAGATGAAGCTTGGGCTTGTCTGCTGCCAGTGTAGATGGGTGAAAGCTCAACAACGTCCACTTGAGGGTCGAGTGAATGTTCACTACCCAGACTGCTGTCTAAGAGAGGATAAAGGACTTCAGAATTAGTTGCTCTGTATTTTTTGTAAGTGATCTGCTGAAGAGCAAAGAGCATTGACTTTGGTAGAGCAGGATCTGGAAGAAAAACTAGATTTGTAGTGGGGAACAAATGAAATTGTCATTTGTATGAGGAATTGCCATACATCTGAGGAGCTAAGCAGTCTCAGAAGTATGGGAGGACTGTTGAGCACTGAGGCAGGCTGTGGGGCAGGAAGGACTGTGGTTGCTCTGGAGAGCATCCACCTCCAGACTGGATGTAGCTAACAGGTTTGCAGAAGACACACATAGAGCACTGAGATGTACATTCATACACCAGCATAAACCTTCTCTCTCTTTTTGTACTTAAGATTTGGAAATTACAAGGAACAATAATCCCCTTCTAGACAAGTATGCTATCTCTTCTTTTACAGCTTCAGAAGCCTGAGAGTCCAATGGGAGGAAAAAACACAGTTATTAGGAATGCTGATGTTAGAACTGATGTGAGGGAAAATATCTTCGTAACATACTCAGACTTTGAGGTTTGTGCAGCGTATGGAATCAAAATGGGCATAGAGCCAGGGCTGAGAAATACTGAGGTTCAGTTGAACAGGAAGAGTGGTGGAGCTGACAAAAACGAGTGGCTGATGCTCAGCTTCAACAGTGACACGCAGTCACAAAAGCACCCTTAACAGTTACCTGAATGCTCTTGATTATGTATCTGCTGGTTAAAGATCTTGAAACTAGTTTTCCTCTCGTCACAGTGCTGAAAGAGTTGTTGGAACACAGGAGCAGGCTCAATGGAAATTGGGCTGAGGGGAGCACAGATCTCGTTTTGCACCTCTGTTGGTGTCAAAGCTAAGACTCAGTGCAGTCCCTTTGGAAGCAACTTGAGCTCCAGACTTAAGAACTGACACAACTTGTCCT